AATAAGAGTCATGTGTATTCCTAACTTGCAGGTGGCATACCATCATGCATGATCATAAAGTTACGGTAAGAATATAAGCATGACTAGCAGGGATCGTGGGCACACGGGGCTTTGGGAAAAGCGACAGCGCCATAGGCGGTACGTTTTATCCATCACTTAACCAGCACGAGTAGGAAAACACGGTTATCATGCTTTTTTGGAGATCAGATCGTTGGGATCTGAATTTGGAGGGCAAAAACAAAACGAGGGAAAGTAATACACGAAGCTTTTCGCTTGACATATGACAGAAAAAGTGGAAATTGCAGCAAATGAGGAACTAGAACACAAGATCTGTGGAAGTGGCAGAATTTGCATCATCCAGCCGGTCAAATTGAACTAAAATCCTGAAACCACCGCTGAGACATCGTGGCCCTGGGTTGTTCGGCTCATGGCCAGGGCCACGGAAAGCACAAGTGAGAACGATTAAGTGAAGTGATTGGCAAAACGGACAAACAGTAACAGGAACCTCATAAATGTGGCGTACAGTGAGACTGCAAACAGATTGAAGAGTGAAGATCCTTTCACAAATTTTTACAAGGGACAAACGAAACCGATTTCGTAGGTACCCTAATTAGCCACTTCTGTGAACGCAACTGGCTCTTCGATATCACTACTGATAAAGACCGGATTTGCTCTTTAAACCTGCTCTTGCCACAAGCGAGCTCGGATAGTTAACACTGTTCACAAAGTCTTAACTTTGCTCCCTAATTCGGACGACCAATGCCTCTGGTGTGACGGACTCAACAACTGACTGGAAGAGTTGAAGTTTTCGAGAAGAAAGTAGCAAATTATGAGCCAGTCTGCAAACTTTCAGGGCTTATTGAAATGCGGGTGAAACGATTAGCCTTTACATCACTTAACATGCCACAGTTATCCGCGGTTATTCGGAATGTCAAGTTCATGTCGGGTACCATTCTATCGACTGCTTTTGATGTCACCGCCAAGACGGTTTGGTTTGTAATTGACCATCGTTTTATCTATCCAACCAAACAACTTGAAACCACAAACTTGGGGAAATTCGCTATATAAAAATATTCTCTGTCTCGCCTTCCTCAGATGACCCAGGATGTCCGCTTCTGCTATTCATTGAAGGTTTGAGGCCGTACCCCTAAATTCCTCTCTTAAGAAGAAACAAATAAAGCTCACGATTTATAATTAAATCGGTCCATCCAATACCCACAACCAACTTCTTGACTCGCCTTAAACGCGGTAGCCTGCTGTGCGAATAATTCACCTGTGCCTACCAGCCGGAGGAACTATTTAGTAGTTGGATTTTGTTAAATCATCTGCCAAGAGTAACACTATTGGGTCAAGGTGATGTGATGATTGGGCGCTTTCGGCGATGTGGGTTGCTATCATACTTGTTAAACGCGTAGGCCCACGAACTCTCCAATATCAGTGGTGGTCAGTGCTGAGGACCTGAGTATTGCCGTCACATGCTTGACGTGTGAAATAAAGGACCTTTCGAATGCCTGTGCAATCGGTTTGAGGATGTTTCGGTTCCGTCATATATCGCAGTAATCTTTTTGTGGGTACACGATAATGAATGAGATAAATTCCAAAGAATATCTTACATGCGAAATGCCTGATGTGCACTAAACACGACTGGCATATCTCATCGAACACAACTGGTTTGAAGAACGAACCTTTTTTGCCAGCGTATGGCCTAATCGATAATACTGCATTTCCGATCACACAAAGTAGTCACGTGGTCGGCGAAGACATCCCGTATCCTTCCTGTATGTCGTAGCCCACTGACCATCCGTCCTCGTCCCCGGCGCTACGACCGCAAAATCAGCTAAGTCCGTTTGAGTCAGCGAAAGCCTTTTGAGAGGCTAAGTACGCCATCTGGAATATCTCCAAATCCCCACCTACATTCCTTACCCTTCCCTCCCCATCACGTCACTTTTGACCTGGCATGGACCTACTTTACTTACAATAATTGGTAAAGCGTCAACCTCAGTGCAGTATGAGAAATCAGATACTCCTTCCTACATCTGCTACGAATCCTGCTGTTTGCAGTAGCGCCAGCTGGTATATGGCCAACACTGGGCCATTCCACTAGACGCAAGTTTTGGTCCTCTAAAAGGCCGGTTGATGTGTCTCGCCCACACTTACACTGTTTGTTGGAAGTTCCCATCAAGAAGAATCTAGATTTGCGCCAGCGCACTTCAACAGCAGTGTGTTACGTGGTTCGAAAAAATAAAACCGCTGTTTCATTAGGTTTCGGAAGACAAGGAATTTTTCTTTTCCATACAAAAAATTCACGCATTATTTTTAAGACTGCACACTGAGGTTGATCACGAAATAAAGCTGGGGAGACGAACATCTGTCTTGCACTTCGAGCAAGTTTCCTGTAACAGCGCAAAGATACTCTTAATCAAGTAACAAATGTGGGCGCTTAAATAAACTTTGAACTAATTTTTGCACACGCAGCTGTTCACAGCCTAGCTGCCGCGCAACCTCCCTTTAAATGGTCATATTTTGGTTGCTGGCACATATGGAGTAAGAAATCAAATGACGCCAACATGTTTATACCCGAAGTAGTCACTCAGACACAAGACTTCTTGATCAACGGAGTCACCGGGTTCACTCGCATTACGGTCTGTCTTTTATGTACCGTTCGCGGAAGTCTTGTTGTGGCCTTTCTGAAGCAAGCGAGGAAGCGCACTACACTTCGTGGCTGAGAATACTGCTCATAAAAGGATGTACTATTCAGCACACGAATGACCCCCCAAATCCAACAAACCCTCTCCACAAAATGATCTGGGCTTCGGAAATCGAGACCAAGTGAAGTGCCGCCTGGGTCCCTGTAAATTAGAGGAACTGTACTTTCTTACCGCTGGTGGTTTTCACCCAAACACATAGAAACTACGTCTTGGTTGGTGCGGAGATTCTTCAGTTGTCCCCGAAACATGACATTTGGATACATGGCTAGATTATCTGCCAAATCCCGAAGCCTACTTAATGATTTCACTGAAGGTCAGCTTGTGGACCTTACACCAAAACTTTCTACAAGTACCGGCGTGTGGGGGACATGGGGCAATGTAACTTTTCTGAATGCCGAGAATATATTTTGTACAAATGACCCGTTGTGTAACCAGGAATTCTTCATCCTGACGCTCACAGGTACCTCATGCTCATTTCTGTGGCCACTCATTCAGATGTTCCCCATTTTTCAAAGCATTAAATTATTTTTGCGTTGCGTTCACACGACGGTAGCCTCAAAGGCTGCTCGTACATTTGGACCACCATATCTAGTTTACAACATGCCACTTTCTTTATTTGTTACATTTCTTCCATGTCTTTGGTCATTTAGAGGTTTTTGGTGTTGCTCTTATGTATCAGGGCCAGGAAACTCGAACGATACTACCGGCTGTTTGCGCGTACTGCCAGATGGAGAAGCTTGTCGAACGGGATACAGTCGAGTTTATCAGCCACCATGAATAAAATTTTTGTACATAGGGGTGTCACATTTTTGACAAACGACCCAAACACCAACACTTCACTTAACGATCAATCAGCGGTCACTGTTGGTTTTTCGGAATGCCACTGAATAACAAATATCCAAAGCCTCCATTCATTTTTATGACCCTGTTGTCAGTTCGTAAGCGTTTAGATCTCGCAGTGCCCCAACCTGCCTCAGACATGCGTTTGCGTCATTTTTTCCCTTTCTTTATTGAGGCTGTTGATTCCGCATTGTACATAGTCCTATTTGTTGATCTCGCCAACTTTTCGAGCTGATACTTGGCAAATAAAAGTTTTTGAAATTAGTGTATTATCAAATAAATATGGGTTATTACTTTGGCCTTTTGTTAGCTCTTCAAAGTCGGATTAATCCATCTGCCTTCTGATTAGCCTCCTGGATAAGTTTCACTGGGAGTATGATGTTTCAGCCACATACGCAATTTTGGCTTTCAAAGGCACACCCAGTTGCTTATTGCTCAGACATAATAGATCACTGTTAACTTTGAAAGCATGTAAAAAAAACTAGTGCAGACACCTTGTGCTCTCAGAAGGAAGCCCTTGACCCGGAGCATATTTCCTCTGCTACAGCAAGGTTGTCGTAAATGTCGATCGTATGACGATGGTTGCAGTGAAAGCCTCCACCGACAGCAGTCATCTTAATGGATCAGAACACGTGTGCATTGACAATAGGATTTCTTTTACTCTAGCCAGCAACATATCTCAAATGACCGTATCCTACTGCTGCATCCACTGTATGTTCACTCCTTCTGTTCCCTCTCTGTAGATCCAGGAACCCCACATCAGCCCTCAATTTAAAATGCATCCGGCTATACAGACTTCAGCTATCCTGGAGGGCGTTTGGAATGCAGGTATCCAAATTCCATGAACGGCTATATATAGCCACCACCTCTATCCATTAGTGATCCGTAACCGCGTACCCCCTTACCAGTTTTAAGGTTTGGTTGTTATACTGTGTATTTTACCTTCAAGACCGAATGTCCCAGATACCGAGGCCTATACAATGTCACGACTTGCCAGCTTAATTGTCAACGAGTTAATTATAGCTCATCTGAACTCGTCCATGTCAATAAAATTTGGGGTGAAATCACTCATTGCTGCTGAGCCTCCAAACGAGGTTGGATAGTTTAGTTCCCTCAAGGAGCTAAGAACCAAACGACGAATTTTTTCTGCCCTTTTCATCGCAGGCTAAACTTGAAAGGTTTGCTGAAATTCTTCCCCATGGCCCCCGGTGCGCACTCTTGGAAAAGCTGAATGCGTACCGCTTGTTCCGCAAAGGTGCCGCAATGGCCTGACCGCAAATAGCACAAACTCTCCTAAAGTGGAGTCAGAAACCACGTTTTGCTGGGCAGAAAGCAGAAGGAGAAAAAGATGGCTTACTCGTTCTCTAAAATCAGTTTTTTTGTATGCAATGAAACGACGAGTTATTTGTTTTATCACCTCGAAATCATACGCATTTCAAGAATTTGCTTGCACACGGTTTCAATTGGGTCGTTGAGGCGACGTGATTCCGCGCGCTCGTCGATGAAATGGGCCACCGCGGGACACAATGCATTTGCGAGATATGTTGCTGTGGGTGAGTATTTTCCAATGTCATTCTAACAATAACCTTTTGATTCTATATTTTTGTGATTTATGAGTTGTGCATGAGAGGCTCTGTGGAATTTTAATAAAAATGTAAACTTATGTTCTTTTATAGGCATTTTGAATAGTGGTTCCAGTTAAACGCTGCGCTTGCCTAAGGCATAACGCTTTTTATCTCGTAATCTCTGGCGACTGACACGGTATCTGCATGCAAGCGATGCGAGTGTTGCAACAATTGCAACAATAAAGCTGTCAACAAAAATTAGTTTTACGGAAAGAGCCATCCAGCGAAGATGTACGATTATGTAGACGTAAATGTGATATTTATCGTGCTGTCACAGTTTGTTTGATAAGAAACCACGAGAGATTCTTTGTGGGGTCGTGGAAAGAGCACTAATCAGTATTTTCAGACGGAACTCTCAAAATAAAGTAAAACCTTGGAGTGTAAACAGCTGACCCTCTTACAGGAGCCAGATAACGTTGGTTAAAAAGTTTTCGAGCTAACTGGTTGCTCTATGGGGATCAGTTATTAGAAAATGCCAAACATAATCCCCCATCCTACAAGTAGATAAATGACCATTGCTTGAATTTGCTGGAAAATTTACAGTAACAACTTTGCCTGTGACAAGTAGAAAGTGCTAAGAAATAACGATGAACCGGCAATGGTTTTAGCCTGTGTAATTCAGCGTGGGATAGACCAGGAAGGAGTGAGAGACGGAGTTTAAGTGGTGACAGACGACCGAGCGCATACTGGGGTCTTTGCGGATCACCTTGCAACTATGCAACAACGAAACATCACCGCCCAAATGAAACGTGTGATAGCGTAATCGGGGGTAATCGAACACTCTTTTCCGGTTATAAAATGCTTACTTTCGGAAAAGGAACCAAATTAAATTAAATTGTGTAGGCTGAACCCAGCTTTAGCTAAGTAGCTGGCATCTACCTAGAAAAATTACTAACCAGCCTACAAATTGAGTCTTAAAATTTGTAAATCTCACAGAAGAATTACGCATATTCTTTTTAAAACTGTAACAACTAAGTGGTACTTGAAGATTACTGATCCATCAGTCTGATTTTGGAATATAATAAACATCACATCATCATAAACAACATAAACAAAGTAGAGTATGGTTAAAAGTCATGTGCTTCGCTTGATTGAGCACAATACGGAATCTCTTGCTGAGGGCTTCAGAAACCTGCCGGAAGTACAAAAGGCATGCTGTGATCATAAGAAAACCAAAAGTCAATCCTTTAAGCATACAAAGACTTCGTGAATGTTTCAGTCATTGTCATAGTTGCAAATTTCTATTCAGCGCCAACAGACATCAGGATACAGTGACTGAAGCAACTGGCCCATTGTTTGGCATAGGTGCTTAGTCAAATTAGGCAAGCTTATATCCAAGACGCAAACCATAGGTGATTTTGGGGTGGCTACACAGTTAGCTTAGGGTGCACGCTAGTACGAAACTGCAGTCAGGCAGGATATTGACGGTTTATCCGGATGATTCCTTGGAATTATAACACCAAATTTTAGTGACCAGTTTTTGGATACAGGCATCTGACAAACTATGCATACAACAGAGGCGAACAACGGACCTTAAAAAGATGCGGCTCAAAGAATCGCAAGTAGTCACCGACAGACGTACAAACAAGGTTGATACCGACTTCTTCCTCCTGCCCCAAAATGCAGGCGCCGCAGCGGTGACCTTGTGTGTACTTCCAAAATGTGGGATAAACAATGTATCAGGAGCTATTGCACTTGTTCTATCTAGATGGTGTTGTAAATTTGTGTCCTAAATTCAGGTCATTGAAAGTTCTGAATGCCTTCTCGGTTAGCACTCTGCGACGGCTAATTTTAGGAGGACACTCAGACCAAAGGTCTTGAAAAAGCATGATTAATGTGAAGTGACCGTAGTGCAGTATTTACTGTCTTGTTGAGAAAAATCAAGAATTCTGTAGCCACAGGCAACACAGGAAGTGCAGTGAAGTACAGTCCACGGTCCAGATCACCCTATGCCTGGAACCTATCTCAGTCATCTCCAGGCCTTATTTGATATGTATCAATTAATGAACGCTTCACGCTTACTGTTTCTCCAGTAGCCTATATACGCCTGTAAGGTTTGTTGACTTGTGAGTTCCACTGCACCGTAATGAAGCTATCGATGCTAGAGCCAGTATAAAGCGATAAAGAAACTGAAAACTCTAAAATCAGTTAGCTCTTGGGATAGTCCGATGAAATAGCAAGATAGTTGATGGAAGTCCATTTAATTTGTCTTCAAGCAAGCTGGTTTTTGAGCAGCTATACAAAAAACTACGTAAGCGGTTGCTGCGAAGTTCAATTTTGTACCGGCATTGCAAAGAAAATGTGGTAAAGAGTTTTATATCACTGAATTTGAGCTTCTTAGTGCAAAGTAGGCTGAATTTATGTTTTCTTAATGTGAAACCACCAAACCCATGCATTTATACGATAAATGCCTTAAACATCAATTCCGAAAGTAAGAGCATCGACGGTTCTGGGGGATGAGGTAGATAGCTACGCGTTGGAGGCCGTAGATGATATAATTATTGCATCGTTATAGGGGTGTCTTTGAGCTTTTGATTGAAGAGATTGAAAAGGGGGGCTATGCTTCGAAACTACCAAGTAAGGTGGACGAGGGCGAACGGAATTTGACTGATAGTGTCTCCAACCGTTGATGCGTCCCGTTTTGGAGCTCCAATTTAGGGAGTTTGCAATGGCTAGCACGACACCATCACAGCTGAAGACTGCCAAGGACGATTGCAAATCGAGCGTTTCACTACTGACAACATTTTGTAATTATACCCTAAGGTGCATTCTTTGCCCCGGGATTATCATTCTGCCTACGTTATACTTAAGACTAAGTATTGATTTCGCTTTTTGTTTCTTGGGGCTTCGCATCTACGGAAGGAAATCGACACGGAAGAGTAAAGTGTGTTTTAGATAAAGTTAGAATACTCTTATCACCTAACCCGATTCATTACGTGCCAGTTAGCTCTGTTGGGTAAGAGCTATAGTGCAGTTTGTATTAAGTCGGATGAAAACTTTCCAGAATTCCTTTAAGATAAATTAAGCAACACAGATTACTTGACACTACAGCTTTATGATTCAGGGTATTGATGCCGCAAAATAGATTTCAGAACTTTGTGAATGTCAAAGAGTGCCAGCTAAGCTTAAAGAGAGAACTTTATACTAAGATGAGTTCGGCAGTTATACGACCAAGCATCAGATCTGTGCAGCTGACTTATTTATGGTGCACTTGACTATAGAAAAATGCCGTAAGGGTGCATGGATTTGGACTTTGGAAAACGATTAAAATATGTAAGCTTGTTGATAAATACAGTGGAAGTCCTCGCAGATTTGTCTACAGAGTGCGAAAGTAATTCATCTTTGTTCATGTTACTGAAACACGTAAATGTAGCCCTTTTGGCCAAGCACATTAATTGCAAATTTTATAAGCCTACTTGGTAGCCAGTTGCACGTTTCACCACCTTGTGGTTCACCAGATAGGCGAAGTCCACGAGTACCCACCAACCGTTTGCGCTGTGCAACAACCATGCCGTATGCAACTGGTGAAAAATACCCTATTGTAAATAATATTAATGTTGACATCAAACACTTCCAATAATTGGAAAGATCACTAGAACGCATAACATGGGAAAGTCAAACGGATATACTTATTCATTAATTTTTATTGCATCGCAAACGTTGAGAAACGTGTATTATTCTTCAAAGTGGTCAAAAGAGTGCTGAATGTCTACGCTACCACTTTCACGGGTGCTTGCTTTACCTTTTGCGTAGAAAACGACAAGCCATAGCTCCTAGATGCGCCTGTAGTAGATAGAACAATAATAATCTATCTAGTTCATATCTATTATTAAAAATAATATTGAATTGGCTTCATTGGGCGTAGGTGAATGTAGTCTTTACTGTCAATGAAAGACTCGGAGAGGCACAGCGCAATACTCCTATGATGGTTTTTCTGTTTGGCGGACGGCATAAAATCCATGTACCCAAAAGCAATTGTAACCATATACTTATGCCCATGCTTTGAGCATCCACATCCAAATCTAAAGTAGTAATTTCTGTAACCCTATATACATATATATATATATATAAGTAAAATGTATACGATATAACCGGAGTTTTTTTGTTGAGACTGTTGATGGTCGAGTTGGTCACTGAGCTCGATGATTTTTCGCAAACTTCTCATCACAAACTCGACCGTTAACAAAATGACTTGAGCTACTAACATTTTCCTCCCAATCAAACCGCAAGATTGCTTTAAATGGCATAAATTAGTTAAAAATAGACGACAAAATACTAACTTCTTCGGGTACTTTTAACGGTAAATCTTAGAAGATGACCTTATCTTTTTTATGTGGATACCATTTTTGCCTTCAGATCACTGTCTGCAGCTTGAAATCGATGTTCTTGATAACAACGGATTGACGAAAGTAAAGAACTCGCAAACGGTACCCAAATATCGAAACCACTTCATGCATCGCTTAACTTACTTTGTTAAAAAAAATTCTGACCGTAGAAACTACTCTAGTTGTTCCCAGGCTCCCTGAACAGTCATTTTCTTTGCCAGATGTGCTGATTAGGCGTTAAAGTTAGAAAGGGTAGATGGAGTTGCTTCACATTGGCATCACAGGAGTTATGCGGTAAGTGAAGGTGCTGTTCATTGTCCATATTTTACCTTAATTTACCATCTCGATAAATCGCTTTTATTTGTCTACTATAATTGAGTGACCAGAAAATGTGACAGAACATAGAAACACGAATTACTAAGTGAGGCAGTTCTCGGGAAAATGACGAAGCTGTAGACGTACCTAAGCTGTAGGACTAAACATGAGGTTTCATTTCTGAGTATTGTAAGCAGAATAAAACGCGATGATGAAATTGAGGTAAGTTGGAGAAATGCAAAAATTCATGCACGTGTAAAACTAATCCGGATACGGTCTCCTAAAATC